CTCAACGGAATGGTGATCAAGAGATTGTGATAGCGTACTTCAGCAAGTCGTTGTCAAAGCCGGAAAGGAACTATTGTGTCACAAGACGGGAACTGCTTGCTGTGGTAAAGTCCTTGCAGCATTTTAGCAAATATCTCCTGGGGCGGAAATTCTACTTACGAACTGACCATGCTGCACTGAAATGGCTATTGCAGTTCAAAAATCTGGAAGGACAAGTTGCGAGATGGATAGAACTACTGCAGGAATACGACTTTGTGATCGAACATCGCAGCGGGAAATCTCATGGCAATGCAGATGCATTGTCAAGAAGACCTTGCCCTGAAGATTGCAAGCATTGTACTAGGCAAGAGGGTAAGGAAGTGGTATCTGTGAGAATGCTCAGGACAGACCAGCTCAGCAATGAGTGGAAGGACAGCCTACAACATGCACAACAGGAAGATTCGGACATTAAGCCGATTCTGGAATGGATGAAGGCCAGTGCTCCTAAGCCCAAGTGGAGCGACGTCTCAGCAATGAGTTCGACCACGAAAAGCTATTGGGCCCAATGGGACAGCTTGCTGATTCAGGATGGAGTCCTGTGCCGTAAATGGGAAAATGGTCGGGGAGACAGGTGTCATTTGCAAATGGTTGTCCCTAAGGCTAAAGTACCGGATGTCCTACAGCTGTACCATAGTGGTTGTTCAGGAGGCCACCTGGGAGTTAAGCGAACTCTCCTGAAGATCCGAGAACGGTTTTACTGGGTCCACTGTCGTGACGATGTCGAGGACTGGTGCCGCAAATGTACAAGTTGTGCGGCTGTAAAGGGACCTCAAATTCGTAGTAGAGGCGCATTGAAATTGTACAATGTTGGTGCACCATGGGAGAGGATAGCCATTGACGTTGCGGGGCCGTTTCCAGAAACTGAAAGTGGTAACAAGTATTTCATGGTAGTGATGGATTACTTCACTAAGTGGCCAGAAGTCTTCGCCATTCCAAATCAAGAAGCTGCAACAATTGCAGATAAATTAGTTCATGAAGTCTTCTGTTGTTTTGGAGTACCTTTAGAGATTCACAGCGATCAAGGAAGGAATTTTGAGTCTCAAATATTCCAAGAAACTTGCCGAGTTATGGGTACTCAGAAAACACGAACAACTTCTTACCACCCACAATCTGATGGAATGGTAGAAAGATTTAATCAGACATTGGAGAGGTACCTAGCAAAAGTTGTGGAAAAACGGCAACGAGACTGGGACAGGCACATACAACCGTTTTTGTTGTCATATCGAAGCGCTGTTCACGAAAGTACATCAGTGACACCAGCTTTCGCAAACTTTGGGAGAGAATTGCGGCTGCCTGCAGACCTGATCACCGGAATACCACCTGATGCCCCACGCAGTATAACCGATTATGCAAATGACTTGCGGAACAAAATGAATGACATTTATGAGCACGTCAGACAGACGGGCCAGCAAACGTCTGAGAAGATGAAAACACGGTATGACCGCAAAATGAACAACAAGGGGTTTGATGAAGGTTCACTAGTGTGGTTACACAATCCAATTCGCAGCAAAGGGAAATCTCCTAAGCTTCAAGCTAAATGGGACGGACCGTACCGGATTGTGACAAGGATCAATGATGTAACCTACCGGATACAGAAAGGTGCCAGAGGTACTCCTAAGATTGTCCATGTGGATCGACTGGCGCGTTATTATGGGGCCAATAATGCTCGGGACGAGCATGTCTTAGGAGGGGGCAGTGTTGCGCGCCACTATTAATATCTTGTACATGGCAACACTAGTTACACTAGCGCCCTCTAGTGTCGAGTAGCAGAACTAGGAGAGTCGAGATCCTTCCAGAAATTTCGGGACCGATATGTACTCGAACATTCTAGATGTCGCTACAGTGGAAGGTTCTGGAAACTATCGGAGGCCCTATATAAGGCCGGTATAGACCACAACCGGGCAGTATTGAATTGGCGATACAAGAGAATACTTCGAAGCGAAATAACGGCGAACTGTGTTTTATTATTAGTGTGATTTTAGATCGTAATTAGTGTTGTGTAATTAAAGTGTTAATTTTGGTAATTCAATCGGCAGTTTTTAATTGTCTCAAACCCCAAGCTCGTAACAATATCAACAACTTCGATCTTAGTGCTCCCAACAACTACCGGCTTAAGTGTGACATGGACGTTAAACATGATCTTTGTTTTGTCCATGTTCATCTTAAGACCTATCCGTTGGGAGACACTATTGAGGTCATTGAGCATAGAGCTTAGGTCCTCCAGCCACTCTGCCATAAGGACTGTACTGTCGGCAAATGGATGGTGAGTGATGTACTCGGCATTGATGTTAATACTGCATCCTTTCCAGTCCAGTAGCTTGAACACATCTTTCAATGCAGCGGTGAAGAGTTTCGGGGATATAACGTCACCCTGTCTTACACCTCTTTGCAGTTGGATAGGTTTCGTACTCTGATTCTGTACTCGGATAGCCATTGTAGCCCTACTGTACAAACACTTCAGCACTTCGATATACCGACAGTTAACTTGGCACCGCTGCCGGGACTGCAGCACCGCCCAAATTTCGACGGAATCAAAGGCTTTATCATAGTCCACATACACAAGACAAAGTGGCAGATTATACTCTTCTGACTTCTGTACAATTTGCCGAAAGGTGTGTATGTGGTCTATTGTACTAAAGCCGCTTCGGAAACCGGCTTGTTCGGGAGGTTGGAAGTCGTCAAGTCTGCGTGCGAGACGATTCGTAATGACTCTCGAAAACAGCACATAGACGCGGTTCAGGAGGTTCAAATCGGTCTGTAGTTCTTCAAGAGAGCGTTGTCGCCTTTCTTGAAGAACAAGACCACCGCACTTCTGCTCCACGCCCCTGGAGTAGTGCCACCATGGAGGACGGAGTTAAAGAGCTTCTGAAGTACATCAAGTTCCGATTTTCCACCCGCTTTCAAAAGCTCCGCTTTAATTCCATCCTCATCTGGGGCCTTGTCGGTTTTAAGGTGCTGGAGAGCCATTCTAATCTCGCTCAGACTGACGTCCGGAATATCTTCGAAATAGTGTCGGATAAGACTAGCTCTTGGATCGTTACTCACATTTGCGTGTGGCTCCAACGATGACGTGTACAGCTGCCCATAGAACCTCTCAACCTCACTCAAAATCTCAGGTGTCCCGGAAACGATGCTGCCACACTTGGTCTTCAGCTTTGACAGTTGGCTCTTTCTGGCTGACAGATCTATGGCAAAGACTTTGGAGTCTTGGTTCCGCTCGATCGCTTCTTCAATACAAGCTGTGTGATATCTGTCTGTTGTCTGTTCAGTTGCCTGTATGCTGTCAAATCTATTGAAGGCTGTAGCTTCATCTCCCGTCTAACAGCCATGAGATTAAGAGTGTGATCGGAGAGTTTTTGTGTTCTTCTGCGTTGGGTCTTGAAGAACTTAGTTCCGACCGCATGGACAGTTTCACTTGACAATTGAAAACATTCTATATTTTAAATAGTATATAACATAAATTTTAACCAAAAATAAACGCGTTATAACATTTACGACGTCTTGAGAGTTTACCTGTGAAATGTGCACACAAAACAAGTAACCATTTTGGAAAAATATCTAGGAGCTATTTCTTGCGTGCCGACTTGTGCTTGTGCCGACCTGACATTCAAAATCGGTGACAGTCATGAGATTTGGTATCCTTTTCTATCTTGCATTTTTGCCATAAGGAATTTGCTTCTCCCTTGTGTGCAAGGAAGAAGAAAATTCCTTCCTATGTCGGATGTCGGTCTATACGCCAGTATATTCTAAATCTATAGTAATAACTAATAACCTAATAACTAAAAACTGATAATTCTGTTCTGTCTGTGGCAAGGAACATACTACTCACTAGCGAGAGGGTCTGTGGTACCACTACTCAGGGCTGCAATTTGTTTTTGTTTATAGGTTTTAGTTTTAGGTTTTAGCCTTAGATTTTAAACACTCAATACCTACGTTTTAGTTTTAGAGTTTTAGAACAGATTGTGGGTTAGTTTTGGGTGTGATCTACCTTTGTTGTTATTTTGTTTTAGTATTACTCTCACTCATTAATCCTTGGTTTTAGATTACGAATACGAAATGTGTAACAACAAACTTCTTACTAATCTGTGATTACGAATTTTACATTGAAATAAACGTCATTTACTAACAGAGTATTAAAATTACTACGATTATTTATTAATTATACACTGGAATCTAAAGGTAATTAATTACATTTCATATTGCATGAAAATTGAAATATGAAAATTGCAATACGAAATTGCATAACTGCCTAAATATTATTTCAAATTTATAGGTGTTTATTCTATTGTCTATCTATAATTAGTTGTAGGGTACTCTACTATAAATGCTGTAATCGCTTGGGTTTAACTATATTTTAATACATACATATATTATAAAAATACATACATATATTTTATATTTCGTCAAGTTATGCAACACATACACTTGAATTTTGACATTGTCATTCAACAATGATTTACTTTTGGATATACTAATGCTTTCATTTTCAGATAAAATTATTGACTTTCTTTACAAACATGTTAGTTAAATATGCAATAATATATATGTAGATTAAAATGCTTTTACTGTTAATATATTATAATATTACTTTAGTTATCTTATTGCTCTCATAATGGTTGCCCACTCTTTCATATCAGATTTTACATCTTGTAATGTTTGCCATAAACTTCTGCCTTAAATATGACATCATCTGACAACATTTGATGTTATATGGCAAACTGGTATGAATATAAATAAAACTTATAGTAAATCAAATACAGGTTCCAATACAATAACTGACCTTTTTATTAATATTAGAATGTTTCATAATAGAAGTTTAGAATATTTTTTAAACTTTGGTCATGGTCATGATTTACATTATTAATAAAAAATTACAGAAAAATAACAATTTTTCTGTAAGCATTCATACTATGTATTTATATCGTATTTAACTCAATAACTTTATACTGACCTTTCAGAATATGTCATACATTAATGACCTCTTAGGTGTAATAAAGGGACTTCGGCAAGTAGTTGAAGCTGGTATAAAATTGCAGCAGGAAAATTCTAGATTTGTATGGAATAATTCCAGCTTAAAACCTCTTTTACAAAACTGCACTACTAACCCTATTAAAAGTTATAAGCCAAATGCTGAGCTTACAAAAGATTTTATTGAAAGAGCTTATGTGGTTGCTCATGGTTTTAGACAATATGCTAGTATGCATGTTCCTAATTTTAATACTTCAATAGAAAGTGAAACTGCAATTAATGACCAACTGAAAGAAGAAATTGAGCAGCTAAATAGGGAGTTTGACAAGACATTTGAAAGTTTGAAGAAGGCTGAGAATAAGAAATCAATATCAAATTCACAAGTATCCCTTGATGAATTTGAAGCACCAATAGAAAAAGTGCAAATGCAAGCTGAAATACAAGGAATAAAAAATATGCAAGCACCTAATATAGAACAAAAAGTGCAACAAAAAACAACACCTGCGGCTGAAACAAGTACAAGTCAAACAATACCAAAACCAGTAGCAAAAAAGAAAATAAGAGTCTCTGTAAGTAATTTTTCAAATATATTAATTAAGTTTTAAATAATGTAATGTTTTAAATTGACTAAATAAAATGCCCGATATTTAAGGAGATTAATAAAAGTGATAAAAAGTAACTGGGTAGTAGAGCTGCATTTCTGTTAAGTCTGTGTCTATCTATTATTAACTTTGACAAATATATAAAATAATACTGTGCATTTTTTAAATCCAAGTTATTTTACTAACATTGTGGTGCTAATATGTTTGATCTACCAATGGCTCCATGGGTACATAAATTTGAATTAGTACAGGAGTCAGGAGAATCTAAAACTTATGATTAAGTAGCCACCTTAATTCCAGACATTAGATGTAAAGCCGGTCTGAGTTGTAATTTGTTATGTATGTGTCCTTGAGGTGTCTAGGGTCTGTAAATACAAAATTGTATGAAATGAGAATAATATATTAAATGTTTGCATGGCTTTACAGCTTAGTGAAAACTCCAAGGCTCGAGTAGTGCCATCATCAAGGATTGGACGAATGATCTCTTTCGGTTCTCTGGCTGCAGGTTTGGGAGTTGGTACTGTTGCACAGTATGCCCGTAATACAATTCAGTCAGTAACTGGACGTGTTGACGAATCTGCTAATGCCTTTCTGTCGCCAGCTAATGCAGAGAGAATTGTTGACACACTTTGTAAAGTTCGAGGTAAATATTTAATGTATAGTTTGTCCATGAAATAATTATTACATATTTGATTTTATATGTTATGTTGTTAATTTTTTTTAATATGTTAATCTTGTATTAAAGTAAATAATCAATTTAATTTTAATATTAATTATAATAATAAAAGTTTTCATACTGTGAATGAAGATGATTATGATTGGACAAATTTTATGTAAAGAAAATTGTTAAATTTGAACTAAAATATAAGATATATTTAGTATTCAGTGTGTTGTATTTTTTTTTGTAATAGGTGCAGCATTAAAGCTAGGACAGCTTTTAAGTATTCAAGATGATACTATGATTTCTCCTGAGTTGCAAAGAATATTCGAGCGTGTACGTCAGTCTGCTGATTTTATGCCGACATGGCAAGTAGAAAAGGTGATGAGCTCTCAACTCGGTCCGGATTGGCGGAATTGTGTACAACACTTTGAAGATAAGCCATTTGCCGCTGCTTCTATTGGTAACATACAAAGTAGTGTTTATTACAATACAATAATAACCTGACTGCACTAGAAAGAGTGTAATGTTTTTTATGTGTATATATTTATATATGTATGTATTCTTTGTATTTGTTGCCTTCTATAGTTTAAAAAGGTGCAAAAATTTTAAATTGCAGATCATCATTGGATCCATTACCGTTACCTATTAAAGTCCACTGCTTAACATAGGCCTTGCCCATAGATTCCCTCATAGGGGGGATATTTCGCATAGTTGCCACACTTGGCAAATTGGTAGGCAAGAGCAGTTTTATATTTTAGTCGTTATAAGGTAGAAGTGGCAGACTTGAACTGGTAGCCAAAGTGTGCCCCCCCCCCACTATCAGTACCTCTAGTTGGAGTGACTACCTGGTAAGACATCTAGGAAGTCTATGGATGCAGGGGTGGCTCAGGACCGTGTTTTGTTGCATTCTCTTGGGAAGGCCTAAGTTCAGCAGTGGACTTGTGAGAGGCTGTAATGATGATGATGAAGGTAGGCACTGCTACTCATCTTCTTATTTGTTTCCCTCTGTCGCACCCTCGGGATGATATGAGGTAGGATCCATTTTCATAATAGAAAATATGATGGTTGCAAAAAATATGGTGCATACAGGGACCCCATTGTGAGAAGTATGGTATATTATTAGTTTACTTGTGGGCCCAGCAAACGTTGTTCTGTCCTTTCCGAAAGGTAGCGTAATGAGTTTTATTTCTCAACTAGAGCTCACAACCAAAGCGCTGTTATCTGTCCAAATTTTATGAGTTTTGTTTTTAACACTAAACTATTATATATTGTGATCATAGGTTTTTTCGATTCATAAATATAGATATGCTAATAGCTTGATCTATCAAAATATAGCATAGCTATGAACCATCATCTCGGCAAACAAATACATTTTGTGATTATGATCTCAATCAGTTGTATCATTCAGAATTTACACAGTAACTTTTAGATGTACCAACTCTTTTTTCTTTTTACATATCAATGTGACCCTAGCTCCTGTAAAAGGTTAATCTGATTATACATAAAGATACTACTGCAGACTATGTTTTTATAATTTAGTAGTGTGACATAAATTTTTAGAAAATACATAAGAGTTCTGTTTAATTACATGAGTGATTCTTCCAGATACTTTGCAATTAGTGGTGTTTACAACTGACAATTAACTTATCGTATCTTTCTTCAGGTCAAGTGCACTTGGCGGTTTTGCATAATGGAAAAGAAGTAGCGATTAAAGTACAGTATCCAGGTGTTGCCAAGGGAATCAACAGTGATATTGACAATTTAGTTAGCGTGTTGAAGGCAAGTTGAAGAATGATGTAGAGAAAGTTATAGCCATTTTACATCTTTCCGTACTAAAAATTAACTGAAGAAGACTGGTCCTCCTTACTAACAACAACAGTTGTTCAGTTAATATTAAGGAGGGACCAGTATTAGAGATTTATATTCTTTACAATAACAATTTTCATTTATCTATGTCTCCATGTCTCTTTGTAGTGATCTGATACAGTAGCAGGATAAAAAAGATGTATGAAAAAATATTTTTTTTTATAAATCTTAAATAATAAATCTTTATTTGCAAGAATCACGGTATATGAAGATGTTACAAGTCATAAAAGCATTAATTTTTTAACCATTTACACAAATGTTTCTTATATAATCTTTCTCTTTCTCCTTTCTCTCTATAATCTTTACAAACAATGACTTATTTTTAAGAATAGCCATGCCAATTTCATAAATGTATAGTGACGAGAGAGGTAATATACCAAAACTTGGCTTATAGGATTCATCTGGTGATATCCCGCTTATTACATGAATACATTTTTGGGCAACAAATGCCCTATTCTGGTCCATTACCCCATATTATAAGTCCATAGCGTGAAATAGAGTAGTATGCTAGGTACGCTGCATTTGCCTTTTTAATATTTGTAATGTTTTTTTAAGTATTAAAAGCCATATACAATTTTTAAATTTTACTGCATATGTTATCTATTTGTTCTTTCCAGTTTATATCTTCATCTAACGTTACTCCCCGAAATTTTTAGTTTTGGTATATTAAATTTAATATGATTGGAATAAATAGATTTATTAAATTGTATATGATGATACAGGTTGCAGTTATACTAGCTCCCTTACTTTTAAAATCATAACACAGTAATGGATGCATAGCTGCTTAGCGCTTGAAATAGGAAGAAGTGAGAGAGTGGTATCTACCCACACAGATTCCTAGATAGCAAAGCAGTTTAGTATTTATAACTTTTAGTTTATCCTAAAAATATAATTTATTTTTGAACAGGTGTGGAATGTTTTCCCAAAGGGTATGTTTATAGACAACATTGTAGAGGTTGCCAAGAAAGAATTAGCATGGGAGGTGGACTATGTTCGTGAGGCAGAATGTACAAGAAAGTTCAAACAGCTTCTTGCTCCCTACCCTGAGTATTTTGTTCCGGAAGTTATTGGTAAGGAGATTTTCAAGTTTTATAGTTGTCGTAGTATTCTAAGGTTTCTTGGTGAAGTTATAAGTCATAGACAATAAATTGTTTTTATCTGGTTGAGCTGACGTTATAAACCTTATTTCACTTGCAATGTAGACTATTTTTTATTAACTTACCTGTACTGCTTGCCTGACTGCTTTTATTTATATAACTCAATGTATAAAAGGTTTGTGATCTCTACTGGTCGATAGTTACCTCTGAGAAATATCCCTGTTTATATAAATATAATTTATTACGAGTTAATCATAAGCACATTATTGATGCATAATGTTATAATTACAGATCCTTCTGAAGATTTCGATTCGATTAAGGAGAATTTCAACTTAAACTATGTTGAAGTTGCAAAAATCACTATTTTCATTTTGTCTCGATTTGATCATTCTTTTTTTAAATCGATGCCTACTCTAAGAGCTTATTTTTTTCATATTATAGACGAACTTTGCGCAGCGGAAGTAATGACCACCGAGTTGATAGATGGGACTCCTCTGGACAAGTTGTTCGACGCACCCTACGAGACCCGCCATGACATCGCGTATAAAATCATGCAACTGTGTCTTCGCGAGATGTTCGTGCTTCGATGCATGCAGACAGATCCCAACTGGGCTAACTTCTTCTATAATAGTAATACGAAACAGGTCCGTACTATAAAATTTCGCTTTGTTACACTTTTAATTGGAATAAAATTTCCTTTCTTTATCACCCCATAACAATGCACCGTTGGAAATGTATATCTCCCACTTTGGGGAGGACTTGCTATTACCATCACGCTTGGTGGGTGGATTGCCAGTCGCATTTCTAGACGTCTCTCATTTTTGACGGTGCTTGCCGTCGCCGGTCTGTGTATTTTACATCTGAATACGAAGAGCTGTACCACTATCTATCGGGGATCATTAGATCTTTCTGGCTTTTCTCATAGTTGCGTCACTAACAGTCGGTCATCGAAGGCGTTTAGACGGGGCAATCATGCGGTGCGATGTGGACAGAGCACTTGGGAACTGTCCTGTCCACGCAAATAAAGTGGTTCACACTACATGTGCGGTAAACAAATTCTAATGTTCTGACAACCCTAGCAATTTATTATTTATGTCCGTTTTACTGACGTCATCAAACGCGATGACTGACTGTATGTTCTTCTTAGTCTGTGGTCGCGTCCTACCACATCCATGGAATAATATTTTGGTGTGATGTATTCTTAAGGTGCCAATACACGTAAATACAATTTGAGTTTACAATTTAAATGAAAGGTGTAATTTACTGTGCTCCTAATATTAATTTGTTAATCGCAGGTAATTCTGTTGGACTTTGGAGCTACGCGAGAGTATTCTAAAGAGTTTATGGATCAGTATATTGAAATTATAAAAGCGGCATCGGACGGCGACCGCGACGCTATCTTACGGATGTCGCGGGAAATGAAGTTCCTTACAGGATATGAATCTAAAGTAAGTCTCGCATCTATGATAATTTCGTTATTTTGCTTTCGTTACTTTTTTGGATTAGAACCTAGATAGCTTACGCTTACTTGTGACTGAGAATAATATCTGTGGGGATAAAGAATGAGATCAGAAATGGCGGTTTGTCGAGCATGTAGAGTCGGTATACACGGTACCTATGACGAAAACATCGCGAGTTACTACTGTTATGCAGATATATTAGAAATAAATATACATGTTTATACTATCTAAAATTTTATTTTCTGTGTATAAGAGCCTCTTATTTATTACTTTATTTGCCTCCGGGGGCGAATCACCATACGGTTCACCATATGCCTCATCCTGCCTATTAAAAAGAGTAGGCTCATTTTTTTTTGTGATCGTTACGGTTGAATGTTTGTGAGTATAGATAGCGACAGTGTGCAAGCAAGAAGGGAATAGAGGTGACGCCATTTATAACCCCATTCTTTATCTGCGTGGGTAGAAGTAAGAAAAACATAAGGAACGAATTGAATACAAATTCGGTTAACGAAAAATAAATTGATTCAAAATTCTCTCATAAATGGCAAAAAGCTTGTTTGTGCCTAGTTGTGTAACGTATTCGTTGTAACTTTATTAATATTCAAACGAAAACTGATTGACCTCTCCAATCATTTTTTCTATATTTAATTTTCATTATAAGAGTTAATGAGTTATAATTTGCCGCAGATAATGGAAGAAACACATGTTGACACGGTTATGATAATGGGCGAAGTTTTCACAAGAGGTGACGAATTCGATTTCGGAACGCAAAAGACTACGCGGCGGATTCAATCGTTGGTTCCAACGATTTTAACCCATCGTTTATGTCCTCCTCCAGAAGAAATATACTCACTTCACAGGAAACTATCTGGAGTGTTTCTCTTGTGCTCGAAGCTTAAAATCAAAATGAACTGTCGCGACATGTTTCACGATATTTATGAACAATATAAAAGTAACAGTTTTAGGTAATAACTATGCAGTAATCAAATTAATGAACTTATACTAAATTAAAATCTGTTAATAATAAATAAATGATTATTATAATAATGACATTAGATGAGATGATTATAAAAAATATGATTTTTATATAAACATTTCCAGATAGCTCAAAAATTGTAACATATTTTTAGATATTAAATATTTAATATCCCAATTTCTATCATGTAATATATATGTAACTATATATATGCAAATGTACGTAAAAGGAGTAGTTCATTCATTTTCTTTCATTCATTACAATCTGTGAAAGTCCACTGCTGAAAACAGGCTTTTCGCATATTTTCCGTAGTTTGCAGCAACTGGCGAATGAGCAACCCTAGTTTTTATTAGTTTGAGTTATTAACAGGAAAATGGTGCTGTTCATCTCTAATTAACATGTTCGTGGCCGGTAATTTAACTGATGGTTTCGTAAAAAATCATAAATATTTTCTATACATTTTAGGGACACTGTTATAACTGTACTGTCGTAACACATAATAAAAATTCCTGAAAGCAGTACGGTTATAACCGTAATACGAGGGCGGCAATGAAAATTTCGGGAATCAAGGAAGTGACACAACAGTAATATTTAAAAATGTATTTATTGCTTTTCGAAGTATTCTCCGCGAAATTTGACACATTTTTCCATACGATGGAACCAATCATTGAAGCAACCATTCCATTCGGAAGTTGGGGTCTACAAAATGGCCGTTTTGTAGGCGTCCACAGCTTCTTCAGGTGATGAAAATCTCTGTCCACGCAATTTATTCTTTATTTTAGGGAAGGTATAGAAATCATTAGGGCTTAGGTCGGAGCTGTACGGCGGATGGTCTAATAATTCTATGTTTTCTTGCTCTAAAAACTCTTTTGTTCTGTGTGCGGTGTGAGAACTCGCATTGTCGTGATGGAGGATGATGCGGCGGTTGCAGTTCTCTTTACGGAGTTCAGAAACGACCTGTGGCAAACAAATGCTAGCATACCATTTTGCATTAACCGTTCTTTGTACCTCGAGAGGAATAGTCGTAACATGGCCGGTTTTGGAGACAAACGTGGCCACCATTTTTTTGCAACACTCCGTGAACGAACAATTTTTGTTGGCTTTAACTCATTTTCGAACACCCAAACTCGTGACTGGTTTTTTGTTTCGGGTTCGTACGCGTATATCCAGGATTCGTCACCTGATACAATGTTGTATACAGCATTTGAGGATCCTGCGTGGAATCTTTCGAGAGTTCTGACGCACCAAGTAACGCGAGCCGCTTTTTGTTCTTCACTGAGCGAATGCGGTATCCATCGGGAAAACAACTTTTTTACACCTAATTGTTCATGCAAGATTATTTGTATTTGACTCATGCCAATGTCTAAAGTTGCCTGAATTTCGCGGTATGTCACATGTCGATCTTCCTCTATCAGCTTACGCACAGCATCAACGTTTTCTTGGGTGACTGCAGTTTTTGGACGACCTTGACGGGGATCATCACTGAGCTTGACACGTCCACGTTGAAATTCAGCAAACCAGCGATAAATTGTGGTTTTGGATGGGGCTTCATCACCTAATGCAGAAATCATCCGGTCAACACACTGTTTTTGTGTTAAACCACTTCGAAAGTCATAATAAATCATAACTCTTGAATTTTCTCGAGTCAATTCCATTTTCTCAACGACTAAACAAGTTTGACAAAACCTTGTGACAAGACCGAGAATCTTTTTTTAAATAAATAAATGGTATTCAATTTTAAAAAACCAAGGACTTTTCAATTAAAAAGATTATAATATGATAGGAACAGTGGAAATATTCCATTCCCGATACTTTTAGTGCAGCCTATGTACGGCTAAGGCTGTACTGCCGTGTAATATATGGGAATATGCATTGCATGATAACAGTACGGCTATAGCAGTTTAAAAATAAAAGTCAGCATTCGTAGGAAATATTTATTATAAAATCAATTACAGCCTATTTTAAATAAAATAAAACAGAAATATCTATTATAATCAATCACAGCCTATTAATTAGTAAGAACTTACTCCAGTTCTTATTATTTTAAATACAAAAAAAAAACAAAAATATCTCTTTAAAAATTAAAAAAAAATATGTCTATAAATCAACATTTTCTTAGAATAATAGGTTCATTTTATGTATCTCCCCTCTTGATTTGGCGTGCCATTCCTCAAAACAAGTAGGGCATAAGGCCCGCCATATACATACGGAATTCCGTTTCGAGATTCCGTTTCGGAATCCCGAGCGGGTCGGCCACACACATACGGAATCTCGTTTTGGCCACAAAATTTCGAACAGAAAACTACCGTACGTGTGTGACGGGTCATAGATTTTATATGGACTGGCTGCGTTCGGGATTCCGAATCGGAATATCGAAACGGAATCTCGAAACGGAATTCCGTATGTATGTGGCCGGCCTAAGGGAGTTTTTTCTCGGCATCCCTTGCACCTGTATCTTCTCTTTGCGTTTTTTCTTTTTAGTGCAGAGGCTACAGTTCAAATATTTAAAATTCTTCTTTGAATCAGTTGAGCACGGAATATCTTCAGGCCAGTGATCCTGACTAATACTTACCAAATTTTCCTGTTGAAGTACCTTTTTTGGGGCTCTAATTGCAGTTCGTCGACTGGAATATATGCTACCAGTTCTTATAATGTTTCTACCAGAACAACCACTCTCTAAGTTTATCATTTGTTTTATTAAATCTTCGCGATAGTCCAGAAATTCGTTTTTTACATCGTTTTTAAAGTATTTTTTTGCAGACAAAGAAAGAATTCCAAACAGATATATTATCTAAGAGATGAAAGAATACTTTCTCATACCATCGAATTGTTTTCTGTGGCGAGGAGTAATATGCAACAATTTGGTCTTTATTATCTATTCCTCCCATATATTTATTATATTCTGAAACCTTTTCAGGCTTTTGTGAAATTTTTCCAAATCGGTTTGAAACATTTATTAGCTTAGGATGATTTCTGGTAGTTATAACGTAAACTGGACGCTTATCATACCACGCTGATACGTAAACTTGCTTTTTACGACACTTTTTACTTTTTTAGTTTTATCTGTGTCAGCCCCTTAGGGTTTGTCTTACTGTTTTTACGAAGTGTGCCATTGGTTTGGGTACGCAACTCTAGTAATTTCTGACTCGACATCATTATAAAAATTATCCATGAATACGTGATGACCTTTCATCAAGTATGATTTCAGCAGTTTCATAACTATTTGTTCGGTTTTCTTCCCATACGTATTATCATCTTCGCCCTTACCACAATACATAATAATATTCAGAACATATCCTGTTGCACTGGTTAGGATATAAAATTTTATACCATAACGAGCCTTCTTAGATTTTATGTACTGTCTGAAATATAGTCTACCCCTGTTTAAAACTAGAGATTCATCTAACGATAATTCTTTGCCAGGACAATATACACGACGAAAGTTCTCATATAGAGCTTCAATAAAACCATTTATCTTCTTCTCGCTTTTTGCCTCAATATCTGATACATAAATGGCTCGTAATATTTGATCAAATCTTCTAGATGACATCACATAAGAAAATATCGGGTGGAAATTCAAAGGATCGGAATATGAGAAGAGTTTTCGCCTCTTTGAAATTTTAATTTGGTGTTGTAATAAACAAAGCCCCAAGAAAGCTAACATTTCTTCTTTGGTTACATCACGGAAAGAACATTTTCTACTATGTCGAGTATGAGGTCTGGTTGTATTCGTCAAATTATTTCCGTAAGCATTTGTTCTAGACACAAAATCCAAAAGATCGTTAGAAAATATTAATTTGATTGAAAATATCTAAAGGTTGAGCATTACCAGGTATTTCTACTTTTGAGTCCTTCAGATGCGTAATCAAAATGAAAAAGAGGGATCTCGGCGGTAACGTCCACCCACTCGTCAGTGTCATTTTGAGAATTTTCACACGATATTTCGTGTACATCAGATGCATCATCGAATTGTTTATGGCACATTAGTATAGATGGGCTATTTGCCCTGGCATTATCATCCCCTATATCGTCGTTAGTTGTGTTTATAATTTGATCTGAAATGCACGGCTGTTCCACAGGGACAGTTAAAGTTGAGTGGACTCTTACCTCTACTTCATCATCTGACACTAGAGTATCACTAGATCCGCTGAACTCTGTTCTCATCATATTTCTTGCAATTTTTTTGTCTCTGTAGACTCCACATCTGAGCTCGACATATCATCATAATTAGGTTGAAATTCTTGATCCGATCCATATTCGCCATCAGCACTGTATGGGTTCCGTTCTGGAGTCAACTTTGGAGTAGATGCATCCTCTAAAAGTTGCCTAATACGCTCACTATCTGTATGCTTTTGTGCTATCTAAAAAAATATAAATACCTACATTATACAAATTCAATTGATAAAATTTGTTCATAATTACGTCAATATATAGCTTTAAGCTATTTTTATAGTATAACGATTATTATATTACAATAAGATTTTATCCCTACAGTAAAGTAAAATAAGTATTTATACTCACTTTCGATCGCGGAGCGCTAGAGAAACACGTTCTGACAAGATGGCGTCCCACGCGGCGCTAACTCGTGCGTTGAACCAGAGTTGCCACCTCAAAAATTTAATTGTCACTAGTTCCAGAGTAAAATGTCGCCATATTTTGGAAATTTGGATTGAAAAAAAAAACAACAATTTTTCTCGCTATTTTTTATAATTTAAAATTAAGTACTTAATACATGAATATTACATGTATGAAATTAAAAAAGAGGTTATTGCCGGATGTCAGTTGATTCGTCAATGATGAGACTGAATCTCTGCTGTCCTATATCCTTGACTAGTTCTTCGATAAAATTTGAAGCTAAGACATTTTTAATAATTTCTGTACAATTGGTACGATGCATTTTTAAGTCATCTGTGGCTTGAGAGTCTCAGAAAGCACTTTTAACTACTTCAGTTAAATGATCAATATTCGAAACTGAACTGTGTTCTATGATATA